AACATTAAATGTGTAGCTTAAATTCTACAAAAAAAATATAAATTTAAAAAATATATATATTTACATCGATAAACATTTAACACACAGTGGATGATTGCTTAATAGACATACGACTGTCGCAAGCTTTAACGTACTCTCGATCATTAAAAAAACAAATGTAAATAAGAGCGTTCAACAATTACGTCATCCATGTCTCGTTTTCTCTCGTCCAAATCTTAACACTTATCCCGTCTAAATTTGGAAATCTATGAACCAGATAAAAATCTGTAACATAAATTTTAACAGTTCCGAAGCAGGTAACAAGAACGTGAAACTAAAATGGGGGAAGTTTTGCAAGTTTTAGAAAGTTGAGGGGTCAAAGTAAAAGTTAAGAAAAGTATAAAGTGAGATTAAGACATTGGAATATAATTTTATATAAAAAGCAAAAAAGAAAAAAAAATGTATGGAATGGTTGTAACATAATCCATACCATGACAAATCAAATGTATTTACAATATCTATTTATTCCAATCATGTAGATTAATGAAATAAGGGTAAATTGTATAAAAAAAGTAACGTATTTTAATTTGATTTCTATTTTGGGTAGCATGTTTTTAAAACTTCTATTTTGGTATCTAAGATGTAAAGTTTTAAACATTTAAGTAACCGGGTAAGTGGTTGAAATATTGACCAGTTATCATGCAAATATAACGAGTGATGTGATATTCAACTTGGTATTATTTGTTGACGTGGTTAGTGACATGAATTTTTTTGATCTAAAATAGTTGTTTTCAACCGATTACCCCGAATACTTAAATGTTTAAAATTTTACATCTTAGATACTAAAATGAAAGTTTTAAGATTACGTTACTGAAAATATGAATCAAGTTAAAGTATGTTACTTTTTAATGCAATCTGTCCATGAAATAATATCTGAAATAGTCATTTTATGTCAGTGTTCAAGTTTAGATGGCCAATATGTAACCGTTCATTTTATCACATCTATAGATCAATTGCTCTAACGTTTGATAAGGTGTATTGTAATTTATTTATTTAGTCAAGGTTTCCTCTGAACCTCCTTTCATATATATATATATATATATATATATATATATAGAGAGAGAGAGAGAGAGAGAGGAGCGTTCAAATGAAAACTTGACCCATTTGTGTAAACCGTGTAAACCAATCTCATCCGTCCATTTTCTTGATCAATGGCCTAGATTATATTATTTTATTTTAGGAAATTAAAAATTAAAAAA